AGGATACAAAATCAACACCCATAAATCAAAGGCATTTCTGTATATTAGTGACAAATCTTCTGAAAGGGAAATGAGGAAAACTTCCTCACTTAAAATAGCATCAAAAAAATAAAATAAAATACTTGAGAATCAACTTAAAGAAAGAGGTGAAAATGACAGAACCATGAAAATGACAGAACACTAAAGAGAGAAATTAAAGAAGATCTTAGAAAATGGAAAGATCTACCTTGTTCTTGGATAGGCAGAATTAATATTATCAATATGACCACTATCAAAAGCACTATACAGATTTAATGCAATTCCAATCAAAATCCCAATGACATTGCTCCTAGAAATAGAAAAAGCAGTCATGAAATTCATCTGGAAAAATAAGAGATCCAGAATAGCTAAAGTAATCCTTAGCAAGAAAAGTGAAGCAGGTAGCATCACTATACCAGAACTTAAACTATACTACAGAGAAAGAGTAACAAAAACGGCATGGTATTGGCACCAAAATAGACTTGTAAATCAATGGTACAGAATAGAGGACACAGAGACTAACCCACATAATTATAGTTATCTTATATTTGACAAGGGCACCAAAAATGGACATTGGAGAAAAGATAGCCTCTTCAACAAATGATGCTGGAAAAATTGGAAATCCATATGCAACAAAATGAAACCTATGTCTCTCACCATGCACAAAACTCAACTCAAAATGGATCAAGGACCTAGGAATTAAACCAGAGACACTGCATCTATTGGAAGAAAAAGTAGGCCCAAATCTCCATTATGTCAGATTAGGCTCCAACTTCCTTAATAAGAATCCTATAGCGCAAGAATTAACATTGAGAATCAATTAATGGGATGGAATCAAACTAAAAAGCTTCTTCTCAGCAGAAAAAAAAAAACAATTAGTGAGGTGATTAGAGAGCCTACTAATTGGGAACAAATTCTTACACCACGCACGTCAGACAGAGCACTCATCTCTAGGGTATATAAAGAACTCAAAAACCTTAACACCAAAAAAAAAAAAAAACCACAAATAACACAATCAATAAATGGGCCAAGGAACTGAACAGACACTTCTCAGAAGAAGTTATAGAATCAATCAACAAATATATGAAAAAACATTCAACATCTCTAACAACTAGAGAAATGCAAATCAAAACTACTCTAAGATTTCATCCCACTCCAATCCGAATGGCAGCTATTATGAAGACAAATAACAATAAATGTTGGTAAGGTTGTGGGGAAAAAGGCACACTCACACATTACTGGTGGGACTGCAAACTGGTGCAGCCAATCTAGAAAGCAGTATGGAGAATCCTTGGAAATCTGGGAATGGAACCACCATTTGACCCAGCTATATCACTCCTTGGTCTATACCCAAAGGACTTAAAAACAGCACACTACAGGGACACAGCCACATCAATGTTTATAGCAGCACAATTCACAGTAGCTAAACTGTGGAAACAATCTAGATGTCCTTCAGTAGATGAATTGATAAAGAAAATGTGGTATATATACATAATAGAATATTACTCAGCATTAAAAGAGAATAAAATCATGGCATTTTCAGGTAAATGGATGGAGCTGGAGAATATAATGCTAACTAAAATTAGCCAATCCCCAAAAACCAAATGCAGAATGATTTCTCTGATTTAAGGATGCTGATCCATAATATGCTGGGGAGGGGAGGCGGGTATGGGAAGATTAAATGAACTCTGGATAAGGCAAAGGGGAAAAGGGGAAGGAGGGGAAGGGAGGGGTCATGGGGTAGGAAAGACGGTGGAATGCAATGGTCATCACTACCCTAAGTACATGTATGAAGACAAGAAGGATATAACTCTACTTTGTGCACAGATATGAAAAATTATGCTCTATATGTGTAATATGAATTGTAATGCATTCTGTTGTCATATATAACAAATTAAAATTTAAAAAAATAAATGATACTTTTTTCATAACATTACTGTACATTTTGCCTGAAAAACTTTATGAATGTTATTCTGAAGAGGAGTCCACTTCAAATATTGAAAAGAGACCAGAATTTAGGGTCTGATGAATTTAGGGTTCAAAAGCCAACTCTAACATTTCAAGTGTGTTATTAGGACAAATCACCAAGTACCTTTGAGTTTCAATATTTGGTAGGGGATAAAAATGGTACCTACCATAATTATTCCGGAATTTTCAGTGTATCTTAGATGATATAAGAAAAGAGAATTTTAAAAGGCTGTGCAGACATGAAATGTCAACTGTATATAACAAGCTCCATCACATTTCAATTAAATTTCAGTTTCACATAATCATTAAATCCAATGTGTAAGAAAACATGCAGCAATCACCCAAAAAAAAATTACACCCACCATTTATGTGTCAGTAGTGACAGAGAAAGACAGGTAGTAACTATTTTTAAGAACGATATCAGTTTCTGATTATTTACTTAATCGTTTTTAAATTAATCTTATAATTTCTACAATGTGTAAGGTTAAACAAACACCTCTTTTGAATTTAGTAAGCTGCATTAAAGAGTTTTTGATAATTATATATACTTCTGAGCATTTATGTGCTTAGAGGCTGAAAAGCTATGACGCAGATAAAAATAGCTGTGCTACATGTAGGAACTCTGAGAAAAAAAATGTAGGAAAATGCTAGCAAAGAAATAAAACTCTGTGACAACAAACAATGAAAACAAAAATGAAGCTTTGAGACAACTCTGTACTGGGACAGTCCCTCCATTGTCCATGGGCCTTTTTCCCTGAGGGGAAATTTAGAAGGAGGAGGTTAATACTAAGGCTGCATTTGATCTTGAAACTACAACCAGTACCACCTTGATCCCTTGACCATCCTCCACTCTTCATTCTGACTTCACCTTACTCTCAGATATTACTTCGGCTGGTCTTGGTGTCTTACCTGGTTATAAGATCCAAGCTTTTGTATGAAGTTTGGATCTTACAAGCAGGTAAATTGCTAAGAGAACATGGTACCATATAGAGGTCTCCACACTTGAGGTCTATTCCAATATGTCCATACACATGTGTCTACTTCAGGCCTATGGATATCTTCAATTTTCCAGTGTTTTCCTTCTATGCCCCTGACCAGCTGACCAGATCATTGGTTACTCTTACTTCACACACAGTGAATGACTGGATGTACCACTTACAGCTTTACTTGTTAGCAAGAGTTCCATTCATGGATGTCTTTCAAAGCTAAATCTTAAAGAAATTGTAACACAGACACTGTCTATATATGGTTTGCACTAATAGACTGGACTTATTCACCTGTAAAACAAGTTGGGAGATTTTTTTTAATCTTCTTTGACATAAATGTGAGCTGAGAGATGGCTTTGGTGAAACTGGTAAGTGACAGGAGATATGGACCAACACTATTCATGCAGTTTATTCATTCCTCCTGATTTGCTTGGGCTTAATCCTAGAGGCACCATTTCTGACTTAAGATGTACTGTTGCTAGTTCTCTATTACTTTATGGTGCATGGTTACTTGGTACCACATACTCAAGCATTCCATTTCTATCAGAGCCCTAAAATATGTCAGGAATTGATTCTCAAATAGCTGTGAAGTTCTCTGCTGGGATGATGAGGCTTTGTTCCGAAACTCCAGGCCTGCATTATAAATCCCACATGAATTTGTTCCCACCATCAACACCTCTAGCTTCTGTAGCTGGATCATGTAGCCTGGCAATAGAGCTGTTTGCATTGTAGTCGAGACCTGCTGACATGGGATATGGGACAAAGTAAGGTTCCTGTAGAATGTGCTGCTTCTGGAGCCCAAACAGATGCTATGCTTCTTTATGGTAAGGGACATAAGATGTGATGACTTGTCTTTTACTTTAGAGGGTACCCTGACTAGTAGAACTCTAATAAAAGTTTCCTGAAAACATATCCAGAACAATGACAGCAATTTGGATTACTATTTGATTGAATTTTTGCTAGTTTACAATCTTTCTTTAGTGTCCATTCAGTTTGGGTAGGACCCAAGCTAGTCTATTTTAAATAGAGATCTGATAAAGTGTAACCACTCCCACAGCCTTCAGGTCTTTAACAGTGGTTATTAATCCCCACCCATCCCACCATGATTTATTTATACTCTTGGCCATAGAGGATTGGGAGATTCAGGAGCTTCCACTTGACCTTTCCCATAGCTAAGGATCTAGTGTGGGGTTACTCCAACTGCTAAGTATATCAGTTCCAATAATGGATTCAGACATCAGAGAAATTATTTGGGCATATCTACAGAACTTTGTGCCTCCTAGAAGCCAGATATTAGCCAAGACTCCATTTATTTTTCTGACCCATGTAGCCCCAACTCTAATAAAGGCAGTCAAGATGGTGCTTGGGGCTCCAGGTGTCAATTCAGACCTATACACAATAGATCTCAAAATGTATAAGAATCCCTTTCTCCAGAATACAATCACTCAAAGAGTCATCACAGCATATTCTTGCTGCAGTATTATAAAGTCCTTCTCTCTAGAAGACCAGCCATCCTTCAGTCAATAGGTTCGAGCTCTAAAATAGGCTAAAATCCAAGCCAGTTGGAATAGAACAAGGGATTCAAGCTCCTGCTCTTCCATTCCTGTTTCCTGGTTGTAGATAGTCAGCAGCACCCTTGTTGGCTGAAGGTCTAAGTTGCCTATAGAGATCTTTTGTTTTAGTAACCTCACAACTGATTATAGGTCAAACCCCCTGGGCTGCCCCTCAAACCTTTTGGTCATAATAGTAATTATGACCTCCTAGCTTCAGTCAGTTAGATGTCAACACCTGTCCTCTATTACTGTGGAAAAGGGTGGGATTATTCCCATGGTTGTTAATGAAGTCAGCTCTGATGACTTGTGATCAACATTAGCCCTGCTAAGGAGAGCCTCCAGTGGGCTTAGGGATGCTGGTGCCATTTTATTGGCACATTCCTGATGGCCTTATAAGTGGTGTATTATCTAGACCCTCCCATAAAACACAATCCTTTGGGGGTCCGCGTTAGGGATAGGAAAGCCGAGTGGCCTCATGGCCCCGCAGGGAGGCACCCCGCCACTGGTGCTGCTGTTTAGCGGGAAGAGAAAATCCGGGAAGGACTTCGTGACCGACGCGCTGCAGAGCAGACTTGGAGCTGACATCTGTGCTATTCTCCGGCTCTCTGGTCCACTCAAGGAGCAGTATGCTCAGGAGCACGGCTTGGACTTCCAGAAACTTCTGGACGCCAGCACCTACAAGGAGGCTTATCGGAGGGACATGATCCGCTGGGGGGAGGAGAAGCGTCGGGCCGACCCGGGCTTTTTCTGCAGGAAGATCGTAGAAGGCGTCTCCCAGTCCATCTGGCTGGTGAGTGACACACGGAGGGTGTCTGACATCCAGTGGTTTCGGGAGGCCTATGGGGCTGCGATGCAGACGGTCCGCGTGTTCGCCTCCGAGCAGAGCCGGCAGCAGCGGGGCTGGGTGTTCACGCCAGGGATGGATGACGCTGAGTCAGAATGCGGCCTGGACGACTTTGGGGACTTTGACTGGGTCATCGAGAACCACGGAGATGAGCAGCACCTGGAGGAGCAGTTGGCCAACCTGCTGAAATTTGTCCACTCAAGACTTTAGTTGTCAGGCTCTCGAAGTGAGCTGGGCGTGCTGGGCTGGGCATGGGGTTGGCTCTGCAGGATGTGGGGGTCCCAACCCTGACCAAGGTGGGGGAGCAGACAGGGCCTGTCCAGATTTCTTGGGGCGAGGGCGGGTGGTTGTCAGGCAAATTAGAGAACCTTGAGGGAGCTGGCTCTCTGTGGAGAAGGCGCCCGACTTCCCTGCCTCCTCAGGAGGACACTTAGAGGGCACAGGAGGGAGAATTCTGTGTGCTTGAAACAGGAACATGGCCATTTCCAGGGGAGCCAGGCCTGTTGGCTCTGGTGGCCCCACTTCCCTGTCTGGATGTTCTCAGCCCCTTGTTCTGGGCAAGGACCCAGAGCTCCCTAGTGTGCTTACTAATAAACCTCCTTGGAACACACACACACACACACAAACAATCCTTTGGTAGATCTCTTGGCCTCACATGTCCTATCCATTTTGCCCACTTCCCTAAGGCTTTTTATTTCTTCTTCCTCTACTAGCTTCCAGAGAGACTTGGGTCTTTCCATTTTTCTCCTCATGGGTGATACCTTTCTTCAGATATCTAAAAGTCACCCTAGGAGCAATTTTGCCCCAACTCCTGAAATTATTACCAAGGTATTAAATTCCATATCCTGAAAAAGTGGCTCTGAACAATGAATTCTTAAAATCCAGTCTTGTGTTTGGCCACCTTAATAAAGGTCCCTCAGAATCCAATTCCAGAGAAACTCCCCTGGATCCTATGGCACAGGACAGCTAATGCTTACTAATCCTTCAGGGCATAATCTCTTTCCTCTCTTATTAGGAATGTCATGTCACCAACAAGGCTTAACCCAAGCTGTGTATCTAATAGCAAGGAGAGGAGCTGGGGAAAATTCCTGAGGGAGATCCTATGCCTCTCAGTGTCTTCTCTCATGGAAGAAATGCTAGTTTTACTAAGAAGTGGTGGGCCAATGGCATAGGTTCTAAGGATTCAAAGTTTCTGCAGAGTTACCATCCTCAGGAAGGTTCATGCTGATGTTTCCATCTCATATCTCAGGTTCCCAGGTTTTTCCAGTCAAGGCTCTAAAGTTAATGTAACAGACCTGCCTTTGCTGAGCACTTAATTGTATCCCAAACTGTTGTATTTCATTACAGTAAGATTCTGCTTCTCAGCTGTGTCTGATCTACCAGGGAATAAGGGCCTTTTTGTAAGGCATCCAAGGCCTTCAGCACTCATATTTAGCCTTTAGTTAGTTGTTCTTTATCCACCTCAGTTTTTTTTTCTTCTTGTGTCCCTTACCTCACTACAATCTAGTAATAACCAGCCAACCTTGCAGCCTTGATAGGCATTATCCCCCAATTTCTTTCAAATACCTGAATTATCACAATGGTAAAGGTTCCTCTCTACCTGGACATTTTCATGCTATTATGAGTAAAACATTTTCAGCAACTGGCCCACCATCTATGCCAGGAACTATCCACATCCTACTTTCCTTTCAGGATGGAATCCTTTTGCCAACCAGGTAGTGAGTGGTCCCCAAATCTTGTATTATAACTATTTTCTTAGACCACTACTGATATCACCTGTCATTTTGATTCTTATAAAAAGCAGACACCAAAACGGGATTAGATATGCAAGAGATTTATCAGCAAACATGCCTATTAAGGATAAGGTTGCAAAAAGCAGAAATGAGCAGAGCAAATGTGCAGACAGCAATGGATGTCTGACATCTGTGGATAAGGATGAGGAAAGAAGAGCCTCAGGGTGCAGTGCAGTTCTGAGCATTTTTCAGCCAGGTCAACATGGATACCCTATGCAGAGGCTGCCCTAGAGAGGAGTCAAGAATGTACCTGGTTCCAGTGGCTCTGCAATGCTCAGTTCATTGGCTGGGAGCATGACCTCTGTGTGAGCTCTGGGGCATATCAGAAGGTACAGCAGCAGCGCATACCAACTGTACTCCCATAGCAAGTTCCCTGAAAGGGAAATCTGAACAGCACTCCTCCAAGGCACTACACACATGCAACAAAACACACAGATAATGACATATTCAAGTAGAGGGCACAGCTATGAAATTCTGAGTATTTTGCATTCATAATGGTCATATTAATGGGCATCAGAGAGCTAACCACCTTAGTATGCTTCATATTAGGATCAAGACAGAACTAGATAAATAAAACATAAGACAATTTATTAATAAAAATTGTGATTTTCCAAAATGACATATGTTATGCTAGATTAAGAGTCAATAAGAAAGGCTACAGTGATAGTTCATTGTCTCTTTCTGATGAAGGAAGTAGACATCTATCAGCAATAAATCTGCAGAAAACACATCAAGAAAACATAAGAATGCCAGGCCTGTACATTTTTTCTCATTCTGTCATTTTTTTACTATTTTTTGCTAAGTGTATATCATATTTACTCCAAAGTACAGATGTAAAGGGGGCATGAAATTTGCTAAAGACACAAACATATCCAACTAATCCTGTCTTTTAACCTTTAATGAAGACATTTTTCTTTCCCATATAATAACTTCTCTTTTCTGCATTTGAAAGACTCTTAAGGCAGTTATAATATGGTTCTGGGAGAGGATAATTATAGGTGTGATGTAAAGATTGTAATTACACAGCAATAACATGAAGAAGGGTGAGTTATACATATTATCTGATCAATATGGGTAGACACTCTGGCTAGTTCAAATTTCAAAGAGTTTGGGTGTTGTTCTTTTTAAGTGAAAAGATCTAGATTAGGGTCTTTTATCATGGCTAATACACCAGATAATCTGCCTCATTTGTGCTGCTTTTACATAGTTCACTTCAATCTCTCCTTTTTCCAATGTCCTTGAGAACTTAATATTCATTCAATACAAATTTATTTGTGTTAATCATGATTTATAATAGCAATACTACCTTTTACTACCATTTTATATGTTTTAGAAACTGTTAAGACTTGAGTATATAAAAATTAAGAGGGCACCCTGAGCTTGAGGAACTCACAATCTAAATGGTGAGACGAATATATAAACCCATAATTAAGTGGTGGTGTCAAGATATGGACAAAACAACTCTGATGTTGTACAATGGGCAATGGATGAATACTCTCCTACAGGGTCCTTCAGCTGAATGGCGTATGGTCAAATCTCTGAAATCCCACGCTTCTTTCCCAAGCACTGCTTCAGTTTGGCCTTATTCTTTCAATGTACCTGGTAGATGGGGAAGGCAGAGCACCTCATCATCTGTATGACATAGTGGTCTTTGAAACATCATCCATCTATCCTTGGGGTGAAACCATTGCATTCCTGTAATTTGTCTCTTAATAGAGACAATCCTTTTCTCCAGTCCAGCACTCAGTCTTACCTCTCTTGTCTAATCTCATCAAATCCAAATGGGGTACAAAATTCTAGGAAAAGCCTGGCCCAATTTCACAAGGATTTCTTCAGTTCTTACAATTTCAGTTTCTCCTTTAAAAATTCTGAGATGTTACTCCTACAAAAAAATTTAAAAAGCAATCCTTTTAGAAACAACACCGCCCTAGAGGAATATTGCCTTTCATAATGTCCTTCCTGGCAAACCTATTATTTTCCATTTATAGATAGAATTTTCATGTTCATTTCCTCTTCAGTGAACTACTTTCCCAGAATTTCCTTTCCTCCTCCCTGTAATTAGTGCCACAAACACTGGTAAAAGACCAACATTATTAGAGAGAAGGAAGCCACAGGAGCATGTTGCATGTTCTTGAAGGAAAACAATCCATCATATGAGTTTACATAATCAAATAAGAAGTCGTATCCCACATGAGCAAATGGGAAACAAACACACTAGAAAGCTCTTTTTTCTTTATAGTATTCATTTACTCAACAGTTACTTAAAGAACATCTATTATATGCAAGATGTGTGGATCCTGTAGAATACAGAGTTGATTCTATACAAATATTTCCCTAAAGGAACTTAGTGTCTAGAGAGGAGTAAATAGAGAAAAATCTTACCAAGGTGAGTGAAGTACAGATTGGGGAGAGATTTTTTTTTTCCAAGCAGAAATCTAAAGAAGTACAGTGAGAATAGATGGGGGTGAGAGTGGGATTTGAAGACCATAATGAAGAGGAGAAAATTGCCAAAGGAGAGAACTGAGTGAGTATAGGACAGTATCTACGAGGAAGTTGGTCAATGCAGGGTACCAAGGATTAGAGCGCTCAGTAGTGTGCATGCAGGAGAATGAGAGAAGATAAAATGGGAAAGATGTTTAGAGACAAGCCTTGCAATGCCAAGACTGCCTGAGGGAAAATAAGACAGTAAGAATCCTCCGAGGGATGTGTGATCAGAGGGAGAGCAAAACGAGAGCACTGATGTATAGGAGGGTTAGACTGAGGCAACACTGGAAAACACCAGCCAATTATAGGGTTTTTGTAATCATAGGCTGGGCCTTGATTAAGTGGTAGGATAGCAGATCAGTAAAATTAGACGGGAGGAGGAAGATTCCAAAGATGTTTTGTAGATAGAATTGCTAGGATTTGACATCTGCTGGACTGTGGAAGATGGGAAGGAGGTAGGAGTTGAGGTTCACCCTCAGAGTCTGAAGCTGGCTGATTGGGATGAAAATTAGGGGATGAATTACCTGGGAGGGAAAAATGTGCATGGGAGAGGCTATAGAAAATGCCTAGTGACTATTGGAAAAACCATTTTTTTCAGAAAAAAAACCAAAGCTGGAGGTACAAATGTTGAAATCATCTGCACAGATGTGACAACCAAAGTCACGACTTTAAATGAGATTTTTAATGGAGAAAGAGCCACAATTACTGTCTATACATCACAAAGTCAAATGGTGTTTTGCCTAATTATCCATTTAGTTTGATGAATGTAGACAGCCAATATCAGATCATTACAGCCTAGATATTTTGCAAACTGAATGGCCCAGTTTTGTAGTCCACATCAATCAAACTAAACAAATCATTGTCAAATCTGCCCTTAGCTTTATGCTGTGTCAATACAGCCAGTGGGTACATACATACACTGAAACTGAAAACCTAACACAGGACCCTGAAATACCAGTGATTTCCATGCCCCCAGGGATCTCAACTGTCACCT